TAATGTAAAGACTTTTCGATCATTTCGGAGTTTAGGCCAACAGCCGACTGAGTAGGTTGCCGGGCCAACTGAGTAGGTTTATCCAAAGAGTCAACCGTTTTCAATCAGTGGGAGAGTAATGGAGATCAACAGCAGTGGAGCAGGTGGAGGGGCGGTCGTGGCTGGCAGATGTTTTGGCAGGCAGAACCCATGTTCGAGCTTGAGGCCGCGGAACTGGGCTATTCTTTGCTGACGGGCAGCTCGTTTGCAGCAACACCAACGTAGCCAAGAGGTTTGTGCTTTTTGTGTTCTTTGACGAGTTAATATTTGATACATGACATGGGCATCTTAGCAAATGAGCTAGGGGTAGAAATGTTGTGATCATTTCTTCGGTGGTTTGGATCCAAGAGCTACTCACGGGTTCGGTTATGCAGTTTCTTCCGTCCAAATGACATACGGGCCCATAACGTGCTTGTCTCATATTCTCCCCGAAAGCAGAAGATGGACACAACGATGCAAGTTTGGGGCTGGGCTGGGAACAACAAGCAACAACTGTCGAAACACATAGTATACGCTGTACAGTATGCAGTCCGACTCACGTTCCATGGTAGTGGATGGCATGGTCTTTTGGGGAAGACGTTGAAATCCTCTACAAATAGGGTGCGAACTCCTCCACTTTCATGTGACACACGAGTTCGGTTCGTCCAGAGTGTAGGGCACAACCCAACCGCCCAAGACCAAATTTTGAGGTATGGATGCTTGCCACCAGCAGCAGGCAAGACGTGGGTTGCTTCTTTGGTTGGCAAGAGGTGGTTGTTTCTTTTGGAGAGCACCTGAGAGCCAAGCGTTCTAACTGCTGGGAGGAAATCGGAGTTACCCAGGAGGGCGGCCTTGAAGGATAGATTGATGCAGTGATGCCTGGATGAAAGATCTTGCCCCTGACACAATGTAAAACAAAGTAAGACATGGGCAGACCTGAGTTTGTCTCTCAAAGACTTGGGAGACCTTTTCAGTTCAACTTCCAGTTTGAGCAAAAGTGACAACCCAAAGCCATTGGATTGACCTATATCTCCGTCTCAGGAAGCTCCGTTGAAAGCCGATGTGTGAAGCTCCGTTGTTCGGTGCGCCAGGTCTTCAACTTGGGCTTGTGTCCCGAACATGTCTGGGCGTGGTTTCCCAGAAACAGCACTGAAGCATTCTGGGAATCATTTCCAGGATTCTGTCACTAGGTGAACAGATCAGTAGTTAGCTGAACAGATCACAAGTAGCTCACCTTCAAGTAGGGACACTTTTGAGCTGTGCATTTTCTGGGAATCATTTCCAGATTCTGTCGTGAACCGATCGCAAGAAGTAAATGGCTGACCAAGTAGTTCAAGCAGCTTTTTTGACTCTTTAGTTCCCCGTGGAAACCCATGGTGCCTGTGGTCTTCTTCAGTTGAAACGTCCAATCAGTCTTGACATTCTTGACACCTATAGGGAGTATAGGACCTATACTCCTATACTCCTAGGATGTCAGCCTAGACTCCTATACACCTCTACAAGGATTCTTGACATTCTTGACACCTGCATCCTATACTCCTCATCCACCTCATCCACCTCCCTCCATCGGGAGTGGCTCACTCAGGTCGGCCCGGACCTCGACGGTTCGCGGATCCGGATCCTGGTGGGGGCCGGTGGCGTTTGAACTCGCCGCGCTGAACGCTTTGTTTCGCGCCGGACTCGGGTTGACTTGGTGGACTCGGCAGTTGCTTCGAGCGCAGGATCATGCAGGATAGGATCATGCAGGGTGACCGATGTTCGAAGGATCTTCATCCGAGGGTGAGCCACTCGACAAATGTCTGGTTTCGGGGAGAGTGTGGGAGAATGAGCATGGGCCCGTCGACACTGATGACTTGTGCATCAAATGATGATTCCATAAGCGGCCTTCCCAACTCATCCCATCACACTCGCCAGGATTGGAGTCATGCTGAAGTGGGTGCTGCCAGCGTGGACAACTCTCAGCCCGGGCTCCAAACAGATGTTGCAGATAGCATCCATCGGCACGTGGGCGCTTTGGACATTCGCCCAAAGTACCTTATTAAGGTGTTTGTTTCTTTTTTTGGGAAGATAGAAAGCTGTAGGAACATGAAGAACACAAATTTCCGATTCTTCGGAACCTTTTTGGGGATCCTGGGGTGTCGGCAAAGGGAAACGCCACGCCTGGCCGGCACTCCCAGCGGGTCCAACCACCGGTCCAACGACCCGAAGGGACCGGTACCGGCTGAGGGTCCAAGCCATTGGAGACATGAGGCGGAAAGGCCAGCTTCGAGGCCCCGAGACACAGGTGGAAAGGCGAAGAAGTGGTCTCCATCTCCCGTTTGCGTCATCCCTTTTTGACAGCAGAGCATGGATTTGGGGCCCCCAAGACTGCAGGGGTTGGTATTGGAGGGTTCTCTTTTGGTGCACAAAGACACAGTGCCTGGGTGGGAGGAGAACAGTCACTGAGATGGGAAGTAGCGTGAGAAATAGACATGAAGTTGAGGAAAGGAGGCTGAATGCCCAACTTGAAACAATGTTAATTGAATTGTCTTTTTTGATTTGGTCGGAAAAGCTGCGTCACATCACTGAGTCACCAAGCTTGCACAAGGAAAACCATGAGAGAGAGAGAGAGAGATGCGTCAATCCTTTGATCAGCAGGCAATGGCCGGCCATTGTTTTATACGACCTCTGGCAACGTGGAGGCTGATCTGCAGTCACAAGTGGTGCATCGTTCTTGCTGACAAATTTCACATCTCCAACAACTGGTGCTCCGGAACTTCTCGTTTCATGGTGGCCAATGTCACACTATACAGACTGGTTCCATTGTAGAACTGGTACTCCAGAACTGCGGAACTGCTGCTGATGAACTACCAAATATCGAATTTGAAAAAGGTTTGAACTATAAATGTGTCATTGCCTGGTGCTACTATAAGTTACATGGTCGCAGTACCAATGTCATACTGGTTTCATGCTACGACTACGGTATACGACTTGTGGTAACTCCAGAACTGCGCAGACGACCAGATCTTACTGCATTTCCTCAGGTGCAGCCGAGTGAGATCTGGGCCTGTGCTCGCAAACGTATAGGCATCGGGACCTCAGTGGTGACCTCTGACTGGACTCGACCTCGGGCAGCTTCACACGCTATGTATCGGCTTTCGGAACTACATCGTTTGGCCACATCGTTGTTTCCTTTTGGCATGATGGAAGCGAAGTCCAAATGCCAGTGCAATTGACGGTCAGTCGCAGCAGCACTTGACGCAGCTACTTGCTGCTTGTTTCGATCGACGAGGATCGACGAGGATCGGAGATTCGCCGTTCGCCAGCGGGAAGGGTGTTCGATGAAGTTCGATTCCCGTGCTGGTGAACATTTCCTAGCTCCCTTTATTTCCGCACGACGGACACAAACAGGCAAGTGCGCTGGTGAAATCCGAAGTCCAAAACAGGCAAGCAGTTGCAGTCCTTGACGGCGATGTCCAACTTGTCGATCTTTGGTGTGGGCGCTCAGCCAGCGGTTCGCGGTACGCAGACGGAGGAAACGGTACGGTATGCTGAGGGCAGTATACCTGTGTTGGCAAGGTGAGGAGTATAAAATGGGTCCATTTTGAGGCCCATACACCGCGCGAAAGGCTTCAATCTTTCCATACACATATGGACCAAGTCCCCCTGAGAAGGACTTTGGTGTCCTGCTCACACTGAGGTCATGATATGTGCTTGCCTTCTATAGACCACCCACCACAGTCGAGTGGTTCACTACTCCCCCACCACCCAGACAATCCATGTAACCCCTTTTCAATCAACCACCACAATGTATGTAAATATGCCAGTCCCAGGTCGTGTCTGGGCCACACTCACCCAAATTCCATGGACTCTTTCGATTTCGCAGTCCTACTCCTCGCGCCACCATGCCGTGTGGCGCGCCAGTGTGGTGCCGGTGCGAGGCCATGGAAGTTTGTACTACATGTCCATGGAGCAGCTCTACTGCGCCATTAGGCCCCGCCAATTTGTTTTGCGTTGGAACAGGTTGGAACAGGTACAGCATTGAGGTATAGCACCTTCCGAAATCGGGGTCTCCAATAGCATACACTGCTTGTGGATCTCCATTGAGCACCCTTTTGAAGGTATATATTATATAGGTAGATGTAAATGTAGGTGTATAGATCTTGGAGGATCTTGCAAGCATAAGGACCCAAGCATGACTCTCAAAGGGGGCAAAGAGTGTTTGTTTTTATTTTGATGAAGCAAGGGATGTGATGTGAGACATCGTTTCAACTTTTTTAAATACTTTTTTCACCAATAGACCACATACTCAAAATGATCCTATCCATCCCCCACTGATTTCCCAACCTTGCTTGTTTAGTGGCTGGGTATTGAAGGTTTGGGTGGCCGAAGCTGGGACTTGCAGTCCCCCCACACCGTCCCAGCAGTCAGTCGCTTGCTTTGCTGAATTAGGACTCTTGGCGGTGCCTCCCTGGTGCCTCCCAGGCTGTCCAATAGGTCCTTTCCTGCCTCCCTGGTGCCTCCCTTGCCCACCTTCTTGTGATGTTTTTCATGTGGTGATTGAGTGCACCGTATAGAAGAAGAATTCACGAATTACAGATATTGAGGTTCCGTTGGGTCTGCAGTGCTATCGAAGACCAGGGAGATGGTCCGCGGCTTTGGCGGTCTGAAGCGCCGCCATGGGAGGTCCTTTCAGAAAGAGACCAGCACGTTGCGGCCCGAACAGACCTGGCATCAGGACTGGCCGGAGATGGGTGAGAATGCAGTCCATTTAGTTGATGGCCATGGGCCATGAAGGGGAGCATCTTCGTTACTTGCCATTTGTAGCACGGAGCAGTCTAGCATACGTGTAGCTGCGCGGGAGGCAAAAGATGTCAACATTCACAGCCGGGTGTGGTTTCCACTGAAGTTTACTTCAACCATTTCTCTCCTTCCCAGCTTTGGGCGACCGGCCGAGCCGCCACCGTTTGGCTCAACCCGCGGGGCGACCGAAGCTCGGCGCCATGCCGTGGGCGGTTTGCTGGGATGAACTGCAGGCTGCGAAGTGGATGCCGTGGTGCCCGCACAAAGTGGTGCCCGGTAGGATGTGCTTGGATGTGCTTAGGATATTTTTTTCAGAATATTCTTGGCGCGATTTGGCAAAGCCATGTGCACACCATTGCACACCTTTGGGCTCACCCAGCTGTCTTCTGAGAGGTTTTGTGAGTGCATCGATCAATCGCGTGCCAGGGCCGTGTTCCTCCGCTAGAGCAGCGGCAGGCGATATTGTGCGGCCAAGAGGGAAACTGTGTGGCGGGTGGATTGAGGGACGAGGGAAAGATCTACCATTCAGAGCAAAATCCTGCATACTAAGACTTAGGGACACTGATGTGTCGTGTTTTTGGGTTTAGGTTGGCTGGAGATTTCGGAAACCTGCTGGTTGTACTGATGCTTCCTAGATGATCTTCCTTGGTATTGTTTACACTGAAAATAAAACCATGCAAACCCAAACAGTTCTTTGAGGGCATTAGAGTGCGTTGAGACCCCGCAAGACTGTAGAAGACCATCAGCCATCCTGGTGATTCGGTGATTCCTTTTTCCTGGCCATTTCCAGTTGGTCCACCAATTTTGTTCATCAACACTTTCCAGTTTGTAACCATCAACATGTCCGGTTTGCAACCATCAACATGTGCAATTTGTAGCCATCAATGTGCGCAGTTTGTAACCACGGTTACCCAAAACCCTAACACCTCCAAAACCCCAACCAACTCTGTTTTGGAACGCTTGGGAAGCCTGGCCATCTTTGGATGCAGGAGCCATCTCGTAGTAGCTGTCTGAAGCCGTTGGCTGCGTTACGGCGGGGCCCGGAGTCCTAGGAGGCAGCTCGAAAATCCGGCGGGACCACTGGAGCAATGGCAATCTTTAGTCTACAATTGCTCCATGTAGTCTCTGGGTTGTTAATGACTCCATGTAGTCACAATCAGGGCAATGTCATAATTACTATGTAATCACACATAGTTAGTCACAATCTATTGTGAGAATCTTTTATTTAGTCTGTAATTAATCAATTGCTTAGTGTTGTTAACGAGAACCCTTTGCACGTGCTTTTGATGGTCCCTATTAGTGGCATGCTTTTTATGAGGAGTCAACGGGCATCATCACAGCGTTCCGTTCTTCCTGTTGACTGACCCAGCTTCTGCTTCTTTCGGACGCATGCACTTTCAGGCGCTATCGGTCCTTAACCCAGGCTGGGGTAGAGGCCTTCTTGTAGGGCCAACCAGTTGGCTTTAATTCAAGCTCCCAGTGACAGGCGGTCCCGGATCACCCGTCAGGTATCTCTTGGCTTGCTGCCAGCCGATTTGAGGTCCCATAGACCTCCAATGGGTCACCATTGCCACCACTTAGCCCTCCAAAAGGCTGCGAAGATGTCTCAGACAAGGGTCTCCTGCTTGTGTTCAACGAGGCTTGTTAGCCCAGTGGCCCCTGGTAGCACGCCGACCTGCTGCCAACGAGGCCAGACTCACGGCCATGCTTCCTCTCACGGTCATGTATATGAGCCACGGTCAAAACATGCGAAAAAGAAAAACACACTTTTTATGCTTTGACCGTCCCTCATATGTGAGTCATTTCATGTTGAACTGCAAAATACCCGAAAGAGGTGGACATGGAACATAGGGCCATCCCAGCTTTGGAACATACGGCCTCTGGTTTAAGCGGGATTTTCCATCTCCTGGTGTGTCAGGACCTTGGGAGCTATCAGCTTGGGAGTCAACAAGCACACCAATGGCTGAGAAGGTGGCTTGGGGGACAGTCCATCTACACAGCTTCAACTCATTCAGAGATACTGTTGATGGAACGAGGTCTAAGCATTTAACGACTTTTCCATCGTTTGAAGATGTTGAATGCCTTGCACTAGCTGAATGACGTTGTGAGAAGTTTCTCCGGCTGGCAGGCTGCTGCCAAGACCCATCGCATCGACTCTTCTTCAGAGGTTTGTGCCTCAAGTATACTTAAATTGCTGAAACAGGTTGAGAACACATTTTCAGGTTGCGAAACACACAGAGAGACCCTTCTTAGGTTGTGGAATGAAACAGATTGAGATCTAAACTGCCTGAAAGGATCATGGTGCGCATGGTCCCAAAAGGAGGACCATGCGTTGTGCAAAACCAAAGGGGTGGTGAAATTACTCCACTTCCATTTCAGGGAGTGTACCTGACTCTCTCATGCTGTACTGGTCCTGGTTGAAGGAAGAATTCCAGAAGCTTCTACCGCAAGACCTGTCATGCCAATAGCCATGGGAGAAATCCCAAGTGCAGGATTTCATCCCTAGACAAAAGTACCAGTCGCAAAGGGATTTGATGCATCAAATCCCGTGCCGGGTGTTAAACACACATAATGGAGCATCCAGGTTGGGTCCAGTTCACATGCTTCCTGGAAGTAGCGTCCGCAGGCAGGAAGAGAAACTGTTCTGTGAAAAGCTTGGTGGCGAGGCAGGACCAAGCTGAGAATCACACGAGCCCCAAATGTCCTTCATGCGTATGCGGATTCATGTAGATTTGTTAGATATTGCTTGCACAGTTCGCTTCCATAGATGTCGTGACAGGCACACAGCTCTCTTTGGGGCATTCACATGCATATGGTTTAGCGTACTCATGTCACTTCCCAAATCAAAGAAGGTTGCCCTGTCACCAGACGGGAAAAACAAAGGGAGAACTTCCTTTGCCCAACTTGGAGCCGGGGCCCCCTTTGATGCCCTTCCGCAGCTGTTAGTGAGAGACATGCAGTGTACACATGATGGAATGGCTTGACCATAGAAAACCTACCAATCCATGGCATCCAATGTTGTATACTGAGCAGGAACATGTCATTTTTGTATGTCATTAATTAGACGTCATGCACCTCCCTATTCAAAGGAATGTGATGTTCAATCAGAGACCATGTCCTACTGTCGATTTACAAATATTTCTACAATTTTCTGCATAACTTATTGGACACATGACCTGCCCATCTCCCCTTGAAGTACTCTATGCTGAAGGGATCATTCGTTTCCAGACACCATCATCCAACTTCCTGGCCTACAGGGCCATCTGTTCTTTCCAATACTTGCGGGCGTTCGCCCTTCATCCCAAACCTAGGCACTCCATGCTGTATGGCATAGACCACCTTGACCCTGGCAGAACCACCCCAATGTCGGTAAATCGACCAGTCCCATGGATGGTCTGGGTGGCAGCTTCCCCCCACAAACAGCAGTGTCGGATGGCCAAAGCTGCCAGTCGACCCGCCCGACCCGACGCCACCGGATGCGGCTGCTGGCCGTGATCGTGGGCGCCTTGCTGGTTGGAGTGCTGTCCATCGTGCTTCTGGACCTCTCGGAAGCTGGGAATCGAAGCTCAGGGGGTGGAGGAAGCAAGAACAAAAACACGTATGACGCAGTTGATATAGGGAATATGTCGGCCACGAGGCGCCAAACAGTTTTGAGTTCAAGTCACTATAGTTCGGAAGATCTTCAGATTGTTGCTGGAAGGAGGCATGTTGGGTGGAGGGTATTGAGAGGGTTTTCGTGTGGCAGAGGGACTTTTGCCCATCAATGGTGCAACGGTACCATAGAAGCTGAAGAAGAAGAAGAAGAAGAAGAAGAAGAAACAGATATGATGATGCCGCCAGATGGGTGTGGCTCAAGCATTCGAAGCTTTCCCATATAAAAAAGAAGACGCATTGTTTCTTGATCATTGGAATGCTTCCCAAATCTTACCAATGGTTACACTCCCTACAATAACCATGGTTACGTGGATGGCATGGCACCGATTTTGAACATGAAATCCTCTACAAGGAGGTGGTGCCATCCATGTTAACCATGAGGATTTCATGGAGAGTAAGTCCCTCATCTTGAGACCCCAACAGCCTCATGATCTCAGCTTTAGACCTCAAAGCAACTGAGGGCAAGCTGCCCAAGGGAGCCCAAAGCAACCTTGGCATCTATGGGCTGGTCGCCGGCATTTGCTCGGCGATCGTGGGCTTGCAGACGCTTTTCTGCGATAAGCGATGCTTATATGGAGAGGGTGTACAAAAAAAGGAAGGATTGTCCGTTTTGGGTGTAGAAGATGCCAAAACTATGAAAAAGATGCCACAAGGCACGGTGTAGCATGGAATCTAGGATTGCTTATGGCATCTATGGGTTCAAAAACTGAAGAAGCATGTGGAAGTACATGGGGCTGTTGTGGTCCGTTGAAGTTTCAAGCACAGACTGACTGAGATGTTTCATTCGCGATGATAGCCAGCTACTGTATGCTCTCAGGCAGGTTGAACAGTCTTAGAAATCGATTTAGCATTTTTGGCACATGTCCATTGAACAAACCAAGTCTAATTAAACCAACTAGATTGAATGAATGGGAAAGACACTTAGCTCTACTGACTGCCTCTATGAACATCTCCTCTCTCACTGTCAGCGTGTTCTTGACACTCCTGTTGCAGCCGGAAAAGGCACGCCCCCAACGCCTACCAAAGGTACTTGGCTGCAACGCTTCCAAAGACCCAACGCCTTGAGAAGCTGAACTTGCAGCGGAAAGTGCAACACATCTTCACAGGCGAAACAAACAAACAAAAAACGAAAACATCAATCCCGTCGGTCGCTTGGCACATTTTTCTAGGATATCAACCGGGCACGACCTACCTGGAAGGTCGGGTCGTGGCCCTCGCGGCATGTTTGGTGGATTGGTCGTTGAAGGATCCCTCCGGACATCTTCCTTCACGCGCGTGTGTTTCACCAAGTCGCTGAGGGATGGGTTCAAAAAGGGTTGAACACATGGGCTGGCTGGAGGGTGGAGGACATGTAACACGATGTAACACGTGAAGCGATCGATCACTTCGTTTTTTTCATGGGGTTCTTCGAATTTCACTTCGAATCACTGTGTCAAAGAGTGTCAAAATCCAGCTTAAATGATCCTAAGTACTGTTAGCACCAGGCCCATTCTTCTTCCCAATGTGTTCCACTATCCCACTTAGACTTTTGCAAAACAAAATTCTCCATGCATGGAGTTCATGTTTGACCCTGTGAGGTTTGGCGCTGACGGCGATCTTTCTGCTTCTGCCCTGGAAGACCTGCGTCTTGGCGCTGGGCGCTGGCACCATCTCCCTAGGACACCTGGGCGCGCGGCCGCACGGTGGAGGCTTGCGCTTGGCGCGCAATCCGCCAACGAACCAAGCACCCAATCCGGCAACCAAACAACCCACCAAACTCACTCACTGAACACACACATATAAGACACCGCAAGCGGTCACGTACGCTATCAGACACCACTACAAGCCTCTGTCTTTGGTTTTTTCTTTTTCGGAAAAAAAGAAACGGATATCCAGGAAGCCTGCAACTGGCTCGTTTCCTCTCCGACGCGGTGAATGTGGAGTTCCTCCGGTTCTTTGGGTCAATGCTCAAAGAAGAAGAGAGGCCAGCCAGTGCGAGCGGGGAGCGCGAGGTGGAAGCCGTGTGGTTGGTGGGTTGGAGTAGACTGGTTTGATGGTGGGAAGAAAATCATGTCATATAAGTCTATAAAAACATATTTATAGGAACATAATATAGGAACAGCAAAAGAGATGAACACAACTTAGCAACCATTGCTGAGAGAAGCGGAGATGAGCGCTTGTGCAGTTGCAGCACAGAATTCCTTGTACAACTTTTATATTGTTTTGGACTTACCAAAAGGTTGGATCCGGGATGATAATTTCTCGGATGTGGATGTTGGTCTTGTTTTTGCGCTATAGAGTCTTTGATCGGGCACTTAGAGTCTGCGTCGACCTGCGTGGTCTTTCCAGGACCAGCCGGAAGGCTCCAGCCGCTCTACACTTTTTGATCGGGCTTTTCCTGTGTCTCATCACCTTTCCTCGACGACTAGCACTGCTTTGTGCTCTGGTGGCCACCCTGGCTGTGACTTGGCCGCTCTGTGCTCGGGGGTTATTTGGTCGGGTGAATGGAGACTCGTGATGACTGTAGCAACACCACCATATTTAAAGAGCTTTTACGATCTGTAGACGCTTGATTACTACAAAGGTTTTCTTAGGATCCCATGTTTGTGTGTTTATCAATCAATATTCTACCTCACTGGAGGCTAGTCATCAACTTCAATGGCAGTTGTCCATCCATCATGGGATTCTTGGAATGCAAAATTAGATGATCGATAATGATTGATCGAATTTTTAGAGCAATTCTCAAATCAATCTGAACCTCTCCTGCCCCCATCTCCTACCCTCGTTTTTGGTTTTCCCACACACACACAAATCACCACCCTTTTCGCTGCCCCCTCCTCCACCCTCCGCAGCTTTTTCCGCCGCCCGCATGGCACCAGCTCCAGGATCCCTTCGCGGCCATCGGCGGCATCCTGCTGGGCGGGCCTCGGCTCATGCCGGGCGCCACGCTCGCGGGGTCGGCGACCTGCTGGCTCGCCGCTCGGGGCGGCTGAGGTTCGGAGGTCACAGTTCCGGGGTGGCGAAGTGGTGCTGGTGCCCAGGGGTGGATGCATTTAGCCTCATGTATCGGTCGGGGGTGTATTGCCCAAACCTGCAGAACCCTGCAGAAGAGTCGCCCTTCCCATATAAATGAGCGTCCTTTACTTTTGAAAAACATATTTGCTTTCCAAAGGATTCCAACACAATTCAACTCCCAAAATCTGCATGTTGTTCCTTTTTGGGGTAAGATGAACAGGTCCATTTTTGACAAACGATCCACCCAGCTTCGTGGGGTCAGCACGACCGACCTGAGTGGAGATAGACATGACGACACGACGTTCCACGATCTCAGGTAGCTACCCTCTTGGCTCTCGCTGTAATCCTCACCTCCGGAACCGATGCCGTGGCCGTGGCCGATCTCGCCGCGGTGGCACTGGTGAGCCAAGCGGATGCAGTTGGAAGGGGCTTGCGTCGGGGAATATTGGTCGATGGATGACCATGCTGAGTATTAGATATGATAGATATGGAGGTACACTCACTCTGTCTGTGTACACGCGACATGTGGATTATGAGGCCGGTGGCTTTCATCAGGTGGCTTTAGATCTTGCAACAAGCATTGCGACGGACAGACGAGGTGGCGGCAGTGCTGCCGCCTGCGAAATGGCTGGAGGTGGGTCGGTGGGGTCCCGTTTGATTGACCGGTTTAAACTCCGGGGCTCCTTATAATAAACCTGGATCATGGGAAAACGTTCTGTAGATGGAGGAGGAAAGGGAGCTTCTTTTGCCATCCAGCTCCTCTTTTTTTTGGAGAGAGGGGAACAAAACGGTTGACAAAAGGTGTGAAGCATTGGATTTCCACTGGTGCGGTTTTGCTTCCCTGTCGTTATTTTGTTGGATGGCCATGGGCCATGCTTATGTTGGATGTCTGAAAGTAAATTACGAGTCTACATGTCTTCCTGGATCGTGATCACGTGTTATCTTATCTTTGCATAGTTTTTGCCTCATCATGCCTCAAGGTGACTTTGAAAGGTCAAATCCAAGGGATTCTTCAGGCTCAGGAGCTCAGTCCTACGAGTTGCCATGTCCTTGCCATGTCTGTCAGAGCGACTCCTCTAAAGACTCCACCCCACCAGCGAACACATAGAAACACAGAACTGCGCCAGCGCCTAGGAGGGCCTAAGTTCGATGCAGCTGCAGGTGTTCTTCCTTATTTGGATGACAACATGCTCACCAGTTTCGGCACTGGACTTCTGCTGCTCTCCGTGGATACCATGCTCCGTGCCGGTGGCTACCTGGAGCGCACTGGATACATACGATACATCAGACGTGGGTGTCGAAAATGTGGAGGTAGTCCTGCAGCACTTAGGGATCTCCATTTTGGACACCCATCCGTTTTGGCACATGGGGATGGGTGGGAAAAAATTCGATATAGACATTCATGTCTGGTTTAGGTGCAGGCCAAAGCTGTGTGAGCGGCTCCTGGAAAGCCAGAGTTTGATGATCGCTCAGCTCAGGCTGGCACAGCAACGCTCTTGAGCTGCTTTTGAGCTGATCTGCATCTCTCCAGCCAAATGCGCAAGAGAAAATGGTGTCAAATGCCTTTGCCGGTTGCAGGTGGGTAGAAGCCTCGAGGCTTCGCTTCGCCAGGAAAGTCTTAGAATGAAACCTTTGTCGGACATCAATGGTTGACCCTTCAGCTTCTAAGCTAGATCCGTGGCTCACACACAGGGCTCCCTCAGCCGATCCTGCTGGGATTTCATTGGTGTCCACGAGCAGCTCCACGTGCAGGTCTACACCTTCGCAGAGGAGGAGAATCTCCACCTGCAACTCTTGCGCCCTCCGAACTCGGACTCCAAGCCTGGCTGCATGGTGCTGCTGCACGGTGGGCGGGGAGCTCGGCATAGACGGGTCAAGCCTGTCGGTGGGGGTGTCCGGCAAGGAGAAGTACCCGATTTGGTGCTTTACTCCAGATGTTTTTTGTTTGTTTTTCTGTTATGTAGAAGAAGGAACTGCAATATTTTGGCATCACTGGCATCATGTGACTGCTCTTGGTTGACATCCCCTCCAAAACTCACGGCGGGGAAACCACTTCTGTGCCCTAGCTTCACCATGAATCGCCAGCTGTAGATCAATTACATGGCATACTGTGGTGACACTGTGGTGATTCACACCTCCATGCACCACCCACCACGCACAACCCGTGCTGCAACACACGCGGCGCGCAACGGTCGTCGAAGGTCATGGATTTCGGGCTCTCCGTCGCAGTTCTACGAGCACGCGCAGGCGTGTGGAAGAGCCGCGGGCGGAGGGGGGTGGGTGTTCAGATGAGATTGAAGGAGTTGAAGAGATGGAAGGAGTTGAGCACAACTCTATTTCTGCTCAACATTTCTATGGATGATGTTCAAATCCAAATCGAAAATCTGACAAAAAAAGAAGAACCATCCAGCCACCACCATGGCACTCTTTGTTGCTTTCCTTCACTTCAAGCGCCGGTCACCCGCAGCCGGTCACCCACACCACACGCAGAAGCCGCAGAAGCCGTAGGCCGTAGCGAAGGATCTCGGGGTGTCGGTGGCCACCTGCCAGTACCGGCTGATGTGACCTGGACCAAGAGACTCCGAACGGGCCGACGATGGCTGGGGAAGAGTGAATCAGACCTAGGGCTTCTGGTTGGTACATATTTTTGCGGAATTGTCGATTCAAAAGAAAAAACATCGAAATTATTGAAAAATGTCGAATTGGATGTTCACACACTGAAAGTGATAAGTACTGCCCCATCCCATCCCACATCCTGCTCCCTTGGCCTTTTCTCCTGGCTCAAAGCTCCATGCTTGGGTGGCCACCCTGCGGGATTCCTGGATGTCTGGCACTCAGGACTTTTGACGCCACCGTTTGAGCAAAAGCTTTCCTTTGATCATGTATAGCTCTAGAACTCGTCGGGGCATGATAGAGCCGGTCACCCTTCTACTCAATCTACAGCATTTTCCGATCACATCCTCGTTGCACTCGCACGAGAACACAACAGGAGAAAGACACAAAGCATTGGAGTCCACGGATGTTGATGTCAAGAACACTTCGATGTCCCAAAGAAGGTGCCTAAAGTAATGGATCTTTGGCACAATTGCCCATCCACAAATTGGTAGCGGAATGACCTGTTGCGCTAGCCACATGTAGCCGTTCAGGATGCGCCGGCCAAGGAGCACCAGTTGGGTACAGCAAGCACGGGGCAGGAACAACTTGTGGCCATAAACCAAATGAGTGAATTGTGAAATGGATTGGCTCACTTCCAAAATCACCTTGAGCATGACCTTTCGGTCACGGTGCCTCTCCTCTTGTGTGTCCAAAATCACCAGTGGAACCAGGTCTTGGATCCATTGGTTGAGAAGAAGGCAATCCGATGCCTTCACATTGGCCCACGCGTAGGAAGCTTGGTTCTGCCAGTTCAGAAGCTGTCGCGAGAATGACCGTAGAGATGGTGTGTGATGAAAGGTGTGGCACCACAGGGCAAAGTGCCCGTGGGCCCTGGACAGTCGGACCACAGCATCATTATGCCGTTCCTCGGGAATGGCAAAGAACTTCCAATGAATCAGGAGAACCAGAGTCGATGCTACATGGTGGCGGTAAAACCCTAGCTTGGTTGTGTGCATCAAGTCCCGTCGAAGAACTCTTTCAGGTTCAGCTGCGTCGAATGGTGCTCTGGTGATCCCAGGAGCGTTATCAGCGGCCCATGGCCTTGATCTCCACAAAGTCCTAGTCCACTTTGGTGCACTACCCACCTCTTCATACGGGTAGTTCTGAAGGCCTGCAAAACACTCGCTGCACATTGCTAGAGATCTTTTCTTGCCTCTTGTCCCAAAGTGCCGCTCCAAATGTCCAATAGAAGCAAGCCACTTGTAGTCTCCTTTCATCCCCAAGAGTGCAGCTGTCCAAACACGCCCCTGAACGCTCACCCCTTCATGGAACAACTGGCGCAAGTCACTTGCAATTGTGCTGACCATGAAATCAAGCAAGCCAACGTACTTCTTGTACACCGAGCAATGTACCAAGAACAACGGTACTTTGGTCATGAAGCTGTGCTCCTTGAAATTGTGAGTTGCAAAAGCAACCCGGCTCACTCGAGTAGTTTGCTGCCCTGCGTCGTTTTCCAGCGTGCATTCAGAGCAATCAAAACAAGTGTCGTTGTTGGCAAATCTCTGGGCACTTTGAAGGCCACAGGGGAACTCAATCGTGACCAAGGCCGTGTTTCCTCGTCGACGACCCCGACCCTCGTCGCCGTAAAGGATCACTGGAATCGTGCCAGATAAGGACACAGGACCATCTTGGTTCTGAGTGAACACAGCGTGCCCAGGGTGATTAAATTTGTATTGATGCCAGAATGATTCAAGGAGCGAACTTTTGTCCACATCAGCTCTGAACCCACCAAAGACCATTTCTGGAGCAGTACCAATCAGATACTGAAGGACATCAACAGGCGAGAGGTATGGGATGAAGATAGACCGGGTTCCCACTCGAAATTCCGCCTCCTTGATTGGTATCTTCCATCGGTACCCCCAACGCTCAATGCTTTTGTGGCAAGCTCTTGATGCGTTCTTGGCTTTGGAACCTCTAGGAGCCTCCTTCTTGCCGTTGCCCAAGTCGCAACCCATGACAGCTTCGCGAGCCCCCTCCAAAGAAGACGTGGGGACCTGGGAGATTGGGAAGATGGCCAGATATAGACAGGAGTACCTAGGTAAAGTGGTAATAGGTGAAGAAACAAAATTGAGGATGCGGCTCCATCAGCTACTGCTTCAGCTATGGTTTCTGCAAGATCCTCATTGAATCGGGATTTGCCTGGCTGTCAATGCTGTTAAGCAAATTACTTTGGTTCACTCTAGGAGCTGAGTTGGATAAACAAGATTGTGGTTTATTCCGAAGTCCTCTTATTTGAGTGGGTGTGGGCAAGCAGCCAAGTTCCATTTTTGCCACACATCGCGCGCACACGTGCATCAATCCCGATCTAACAGTGACGCTGGCAATCCAGCATTGAACTGACACAAAGGCAGCTTGTATGTGCTGGCCCCTCGGTGCTGATGGTTGCAGGTGGCCTAAACAACCCCAAAAACACCAAACTAGTTTTGAATTGGATTCACTTGTGAAATCTTTTGAAGCATCACCTTCACATCTCAGCACTCTAGTGGCGCCAACACCCCACACAAAAACCTGTAAAATCCACTAAACCCCACTTATTTTCTAGGCTTCTTTGGCTTACCTTCTTCAGGTGACTTGGGCTCTTCTTTAGCAGCAGTAGCCTTCGCCTTTGGCTTAGCTTTTGCTTTGCTCGCCGCCCGTTTCTGTTTCTTTTTTGCCGGCTCTTTCGGGTAGAGCTGCCTGCCACGCATTAATGTTGCACATGTTTAGCAATGAATGACTTGCGTTCCAAATTTGATGCAGCTGTTGAAGTCTTATTCTGGGCGCACTTCATCCGACCCTCCAAAGCAATTGCATCCATAGCCCTGGAAGAGTTCAGCTGGAATGGAAAAACAATACAGGGTGATGAGTGGCATCGTTGAGATTATTCTGCTGCTGAGGTGGTGGCTTACGCTGTGCATCGGCGAAGAGGTCGCCCAGCGATTTCTCAACCCTGGGAGTGGGAAGTCGTGGGAAGTCGATCCATGGCAGGTTTGATTGGAATTTGAGGGTCAGGCCTTCGGGTTAGCCCTTCAACCACACCATTCTGGAACACCTTGTTGATGTTGTCGTGTATGCCTTCGAGTTCACTGACGGTTGTACGAATCTTTTCCACCATCCTGGAGTACAGTGGGCATGTTGGCAGACCAAACTGTCCTACTTGCCATACCACTTTGCATCACATGAAAGCATTACCAGTCCTGCTCTGGAGATCAGACAGTTCAGAAGACGTGGAGTAGCGATCCAACCCTGCTTGCAACTTCCCAAGTCGCTTGTCGATGCAAGTCCTAGGCTCCAAACTGTGTAACTAAAGCATGTTTGTAATCAATGCAATGGACCAAATTAGTACGAAGTATGCCATCGAGAATCAACATCTTAGGGGCTGATGCACTCGGGAGACCATCATCTGGCAAGTCTGGAAGTCCAGCCTGGGCCCGGAGGTTTGCCAAGTTGTCAGCCTCCAAGTCTGCATCGGGATCTTCACTACATTCATCGGAAGAACCATCATCACCTAGGTGCCCAAAGAGGAGTCAAGCTATGACCAAGGGTGGGAAAGGTTAAACTGTTCACCTTCAAGTTTATTGAACACATTGGGGACCATGTATCAACCCTCAAAAGCCCCGGCCTGATTTTTCAGACTTCTTCTTATCCTTGCCCTTGTCGTCTTTGGTTTTGCCATTAGGCTCTCGGGCTGGAAGGAGACTTCCAACATCAGACGGCTGCATTCCAAGCTGAAGGCCTCCGGACTCATCGAAGCGCACCCGCTTGTTCATCATGATGGAACTTTTCTTCCTGGGACGGAGCAAAAAAACAGAACTGAGTATTGTGTAATTGGTTATACTTGGGCAGATTGTTGAAATAATTTCACGTAACATGATGGAACTA